AAATTCAACTGCCCCTGTTTGCTTCCCACCAAAAGAAACGCTTTCCAGGAGGAGAGCGAGCTTTCGGCCTGGATGCGGGCAATGGCCGCACGAAACATTCTGAACAGACTCGACTCAAAGGGAGAAGAGACACCAAAGAAAAGCTGGCTTGGTTCAGCGATCGGGGCCCTGCGGTTGGTGGCAGTCACTTGACACAGGTCTAGGCTGGTGCCATTGAGACGCGCTGGACTGCAATTCCCATCGTTCCCAGCCAGCATGCCTAGTCCTTAGCCTCCAAGTCTGGACCTTCCCATGGAGTGAAGCCAGGATGTTTCAGCTCCGTTCTGTACTTACTGGGAATGATGGGGAGTTGCAGGCCAGCTCATCTTGGCTGGACCAGCCCGAAGAAAGCGGAGCCAGAGTTTCCTCGAGAGTAAGGGGCCGACCCTCTGCGCCTCTTCAAGTGTCCATAGCTTCTCAGCGATTATGGAGAACCCCAGGGACAACTTTGTCAAGGAGGGCTCATGATAGAATTTGCCTTTACCCCTGACAAAACACCGAACTCTCGGCCGTCTCGGGGCGCTGTGTGTACATTTCGCCCTTCACAATCCGAGCCAAAGAAGAACTTCTGGGGAAATGATGCCAGTCCATGAGGCATCCAAGCATGATGGGCTGTGCTGGGGGAGAGAAATCTTCCGGGTAGGTGCGGAGCTGTTTTCCCCAGACTTGGAAAATAGCCTTGTTCATTCCCAGGCTCATTTCAAGGCCAAGTTAGATTTCCTGCAGCCCTTGATGAGGGTTGCGAAACAGGTTGGGGAATTTTAGCTTGGCCTTCCAAGTCTAAGGCTGCAGAAGATGCATTTGGCAGCTCATTATTCCACACTAACTTCATCCATGTAGCCCCACCATGCTTTGGCGCACTGTTTTACCTCATGCGCGGCCTCAGTTCCTCTTCTGGCTTTGTCAGAAGTGGAGAATTGCCACCTGCTGGCTTCTTGAGGTAACTCCATCACTGGAAGTCCGGAGCCTCCAGGCCTGGGCCTTTCCACCGGGACAAGCCCGGAAGCTCCAGCTGAAGCCAGCCAGGCGACGGCCATAAAACAGAGCGCGGGCGGACGGACGAGAATGGCGCAAGGCCTGGGGACGTGGCGTCTTTCAATACTTCTGATTTCAGGCAACAGGCATTTGGTGCAAGGACAATCCCTGCACTGGGAGAAGGATTCGTCCCTCGTTTTCGCCACCGCTTCAGAAAAAATAGTTGAGCGATTGCTTACAATCCACCAACTAGCCAGTTGATGTCAGCTTTCTACCTGGTTGCTTGGAGTGGCGTTCGTTCCTTAAAGAAAGCCAAAGGAGCCACAATGGGTGAATTTTAGGGTACAGATGAGTCGCTCAACAAAGCAATATACAAAACAATAGTGTATAACTTCACAATAGAATACTGCACAGCATGGATGCTTAGTGAAGAAGGTTCCCTTTCTGCAGATGCTTGTTGGAAGAAGTCATGCTTCCTTCAGTTTAGGAAATCACTGACATATTTTCTGCACGTAACGAGAAGGCCAGACTCCCTGGAGAAAACAATCCTGCTAGGGCAGGTTGAAGGCAGAAGAAGAAAAGGAAAGCCAAGTGAGAGATGGATGGATTCCAGCAAGGAAGCTGCAGCCTTGGATTACCGGAGCTGAGCAGGGCCGTAGGACGATTTGGAGGGGGCGAATTACAGATGACCTGACAGCACACAGAATCACAGAACAGTAAAGCTGGGAGGGGCCCAGAAGGCCATCAAGCCCAACCCCCTGCTCAGTGCAGGGCCCCCGTTGAACCATCCCTCTCAGATGGCTGTCCGGCGGCCTGCTCAATGTGTCCGGCGTGGGAGAGCCCTCCACATCCACCGGTCACGGGTTCCATTCCTGCACTGCTCTTTCCCAGGTTCTTCCTGAAGTCCTGCAGCTTGTGGCTTCCTTTAACTCGAGCCCGTTACTCTGTGTCCTGCACTTCTCCAGGCCAAACATGGCTCGGTTCTTTCTATCACTTCTCATAACAACAACGGCCAATCTGGAGGAGTTGGGTCCTGCCTGGTTTGCAGTGGTATGGTGCTCCCAGGGGGTGGCGGGGGGCAGGGGGGACTATCCTATTCTGGATAAGAACATGTTCACAAGAACCTAAGAGCAGCCCTGCTGGATCAGGGCCAAGGGCCCTCCAGCCCAGCACTCTGCACACACAGTGGCAAACCAGCTGCCCCCAGGACCCCTCCAGCAGGATGGGTGCAGGGCCCCCTCCTGCCAAGCCCCTAAACAGCTGATGCATGAGTGCCTGTCACCTCTGGGGAAGGAGGGAGCACATGGCCAGTGAGGCTAGTAGCCACAGATCGCCTCCTCCTCCTCCTCCTCCTCCTCCTCCTCCTCCTCAAATGTGCCCAACCCCCCTTTAAATCTATCCAGACTGGTGCTCATCCATACCGCCAATCTGGTATCACCCATACGTAACAGTCTGCCACTCCTATGATCCCCAAGCCAGTATGGCTAATGGATTTGTCATCAAAGTTATCAATGTCTCCTCTTATTATTTATTTCATTTCTATACCGCCCACAGCCAAAGCTCTCTGGGTGGTTTACACAGTCTATAACACAAATGATAAAGGAGGAATAGAGAAGACAGGCATCCTACAGGCTCCTCACCCCGTGGCAGCAAATTCTAGTTTAACAATATTCTGTGTGAAGGACTTTCTCTTGCCTGTCCTAAACCTCCCCCCATTCATCTTCATGGGATGACCCCGGGTTCAAGTGTTACGGGCTAGAAAGAGAATTTCCCACTTTCTCCCGCTGTGCAGCGTTTTCAACACCTTCAGTGTGTCTCCCCTCGCTCACCAGTTTTCCAGGCTGGAGCCCCAGTTCTTGTAGCCAGTCCTCTGGGACTTGCATACGGGCTGATTTCCGTTGCCCTTTCCTGTACCGTTTTCAACTCAATAATTCCTTTTCCGGGTCAGGCAACCAGAACGGGGCACTAGAGTCTAAGCACAGTCCTACCAAAGCCTTGTGCAGGGGAGTGCAATCCTGGAAGCTCGATCTTCTGTGCCGTTCCTAATTATGCCATATCGTTGGAGCAGTTCCTCACGACCAAGTGCTTGGAGAGGTGCATGTTACCGGCCACCGATCCATCGCAAAGGCCTCCCTTGGGTCATGCGGTGGAACACCCTGCACCGTGAAATATTCTGAGCCGCCGGTGGTTGCGGTCCTGCTCCGCCTGTGTGATGATGGAGTCCGCTGAACTCCGGGAAGGGTGAAGGTTTGGCTGCCATCACTGAGATCTGTTTGGGCTGCTGCTCCTTGGATGGGTGAGTTTTGCTGGCAGGGCATCTCCAGCCAGACATGCCCCTGGGATGAAGAATGGCACCCTCTGCTGCTGGACAGGGCAGAGGAGACCCTGGTCTGACTGGGTATCCAGAAGCATCACAGAAAGCCCTTCTCTAGCTCTCTCTCTGGATGCATCGGAGAGAACGCAAAGCCCAGGATCATCAGGGATCAGTTGCACAACACGGCCGTTGTGGTGAGATGCGGGTTTTTGAGTCTCTGTTCAGCCATGATGCTCACTGGGGGCCTTTGGACTCTCGGCCTGACCTACCTCACAGGGCTGTTGTTGTTGCAAGGCTAAAAACTGTGATAGGAACTGTGTAAGCCACCCTGGGCTCCTCAAGAGAGTTAAAATGGCAGGTTCTAAATGTAGTGTGATTATACCATAACATTCAGTTCTAGCAGCACAGTTTGTGCTCCCACGAGGACACAGCAAATAGCATTAAAGGGAGTGAGAAAAGTGTTGAGTTATGGGGATTATGCTAATGCAGACTGTCAAAGTGCCTTGCTGTGCCCCAGGTTCAAAGCTGGATTCTTCAGAACGGGACTAGGGGAATTGGGACTGTTTGGCACATCTTGGTCGGGTGAGAGGGCCACCTGCTGGTGCTTTTTGGTTAATTTCGAGCTGCTGCCAATTCTCCTCCTGGATCAGCTTTTCCCAACCTCATGCCTCCCAGATATGCTGGACTACAACTCCCAGCATTCTCCAGCCAGCACCCAAACTATGCCACACCAGCTTCTCCTTGGTCTCCCCCTTCTTTGTGGCCAAATCGGCTTCCTCCTCCTCCTGCCCCAATAGGAAGCCAGCTTGCAAAGAGGGAACGCAACGGGGGAAAGCAGGCGAGGATCCGAAATGGCAGCCCAGGAAGAGGGGCACCGACACCGGTCTCCCTTCCCATCATCCGCTCTCCCATACCGGTCTTGCCGTGCCTACAAGCAGACATCAGAAAGAACGGAGTCCATCCCACGTGGGAAGAACCCTCAAAGGTCAGGGGGGTCTCTTTGCTTTGGCTGCTGGCCACCCGCAAAGATCTCTCTGCTCCTTCTCCCTGAGGCTCTGGTCCCACTCGGTTTCACAGAATCTGGCTGAAGGAACTGCATGGGCTACCTACCAATTGGCTACTGAGCCAGGTCTGAGGATTAAGTCCCAGTGTGCAAAGCCCTGAGCAACCTGGGACCAGGATGCCGGGGAGAGCGCCTTCGCCTTTCCCAACCTGCCTGGTCGCTGAGGTCACCGAGGGACACTCTCCCGGGGTTCCACGTGGATCTACAGCCCAACGGGTGTCCCCCTGGAGAAGAGCCTTCCGGGTGGTGGCCCCCTGGAGGTCAAGCAGCTGCAACTCTGCCCCGTTTCTGGTACCTCCTGGAACCTCTTATCTCCCCAGATGGCGGCGCCCTCTCCCCACTACCATGGGTCATTCTGTGGTTTCCAATCTTTTGTGCATTCCCTTTTTGCTAAAAGCTGAAGTGCTTCTCCCAAGGCTCAGTTACTGGAGAGCTTCAAGCTAAACTGTGCCAGTCCTTTCCATACATTGGCTCCACTCTTTTGCATTTAGCCCCACCCACCACTGGACCCCCCCCCCCCCCCCCCAGGCTTCTCTGAAATTGAATTATGACCTCTGGTTGAAAGCAGTTTGACACCCCTGGCCTAGTCATTCTTCAAAGTCCTTCCAATTCTATAATTTTATTTAATTAATTAATTATTAAAAGCTTTTATATGCCGTCCTATTATATAAAAATCTCAGGATGGCTTACAATGTTTAAAAGAACAATTAAAACTACAACAATTTCTAATAACTAAATTGAAATAGAATAATATATAAGACAAAACAGTAAATCACAAAACGAGAGCGACTTAACGTTAAAAGTTGTTGATTTTAAAATACAGTTCAAATAAAAAGGTTTTGACCTGGCGCCGAAAAGAGTATAAGCTTGGCGCCAGGCATACCTCTCTGGAAAGTGCATTCCAGAGTCTGGGTGCCACCGCAGAGAAGGCCCTACCCCGAATTGATAACCTTTTTACCTCTCCTAGAGAGGGTTTCCAGACCAAGGCTTCTCCCGCAGATCTTGAGGGATGTATGAGGGCGTACAAGGAAGGAGACACATTTTATAAATACTTACTAGTTTGTTAACAGATTCTCAAAGACTCTTGAGGCAGCAGTCATTTTAAAATAATAGGGGAACAACCCAATTCCTGTTTAGACACAGCTGTCTGGCCTGTGCTGGGTGCGGAAGGCCTTTTCTCATCAAATTGCAGCAAAACTGTTGTTCTAAAAGCAACATTTTAAAGCCCCTGGTTTTTTGTTTCTTAAAACTGAGTGTCTCACAAAAGTAAACTCCTTGCAACTTAAAAAGCTTTTAAAGGGAACAGATTTCAGATTATTGCAAGGGCCAGAAGGAGAATTGACCTGAGCTAGACCAATGCTAATTGGCCAGAGGGCTACACCGAAATTTGCTGATTGAGGCGTCCCTTGTTGGGGGGGTGGGGGGAATGCCAGTGCTGTGGCCACCACTGCAGAGGCCCTGTACATCTCACATCCCGAGTAAGGAGTAAGGAATGCCTCGATGACTAGTCAAGAGAGACTGGCGGGGTTATTTCAAGGGACTCCAGGTACTGAAGAGAAGTGGCAGGCATCTCCATCTTGTGCTTTCCAACAGTGACAACTGGGATATGGGGCAGAGAGGGAGGGTTCAGCCCGGAAGGAGCCTGAGGGTCTCTAATTACCCACAGTGGAAGCTGTCAAGAGCAGGCGAAAAGTATCCAGGACAGGCCGTCTCTCGTCTGCAACCGTTCCCACCTTCCTGCAGCTCGCAGAAGACCTCCTTGGCACAAACGTCCATCGTTCAGGTAACACCCATCACCTATTATAATGTCCAGGCCCTGAACATGAGGGTTCTGACAACCCACACAAGGGCTGAGGATGGGTAGTTGTTGAGCCATGGGTTGTTTTGAAATACGGATTATCCTGTTGTCCAAACCCAGCTGCACTAACAAACAATGGCTTGTTCACCATGGACAACCCACGAAGAGAACCCATGGTTTGCTATTAGGTTATAAAGTGTGGGCTGGCTATTGGATCTTGAACTATGGTTTATTATCTCATCTGGGTTCAGACAACAGCAACCTGTACTCAACCCATGCACAACCCTTGTGTATGGGCCATTGTGCTGTCTGCGCCCAGTCTGTTGGCTGATACAACCGGCTGCATGCAAATCTGAGTGAAACAGACTGCAGTCAGAGTAGGCTGGATACAAGAACCCCATGGAGTTTTAGCCCAAGCTACCCCTGTGGCAGATCCCGACAGCGAGCCAAGGGGCGTAATGGAATCCGGAGAACAGCTCTGTGCCCATGGCTTTCTTAGTCAAACCAGCCGAATGTGTCCGGCAGAGAAGGGCCAGCTCTCAACCCAGCCAAGAAGATCCAGGAGGGAGAGCGATCCACCCTGGCGTGGAATAAGAGCAACTTTTCCGCCTGCCCAGTTATCTTGTGAAAGCCCCTGTGGGCCGGCGGTGTTCCCAACGCACCGGCTAGCGCAAATCCGGGAGGGAAGAGCCCAAGTAAATGCGCAAGTCGCTGACGGTGGAGCGGATGATTTTCGCGGGGATGGTCTCTCTGTTCAAACGCTCGTGCGCCGCATAACGGTGACAGCCTCCGAAAGAGTAGAAGTAGTCGCCTCCCTCTCTGCCCTTGATCCACAGGACGTCTATCGGGGGCACACGGTCAGGTTCCTCCTGGAAACGGGAGCGAGAGTGAGAGAGATGCGGGAGCCGAAGGGCACAGCCCCCAGGGCTACTCTCCTGACGGCTACCTCCAGCATCAGAGGCAGTATACTGGGTACACCAGCTGCTGGGGAGCATGGGCAGGAGGGTGTGTCAGCAGTCCTGTGGTACAGAAAGGCTTTCTACAGGCAGTTGGCAGGCCGCTGCGTGGGCGGAAAGCTGGGACAGATGGAGTCCTGGCCTAATCCTGCAGGGCGCCTCCTCCACATCACCCCTAGGCCTGGATAGATCAGGGCCAGTCGATTTTGCCCTCCGTATGCCTCCCTGTGGGTGGACGCCCCTGTGGTTTGCCTTGGCTGGGGATGATGGGAACTGTAGCCCAACACATCTGAACAGGGCCATTCTATTCCTGTGGTCACAATGGTGTTATGATTTACATTTACGTACAATTCCACGTACATTTAAGCAGAAAAAAGACCTATTTCCCCAGCATGCTTCAGCTGGTTGGGGCATGCTGGGGAACATGGGACCCTTTCCCCTTCTAAATATGCAGAGGATTGTATCCTGAAGCAATTTCAAAATCAGAAAACTGAAAGTTGCAGAGCCAGGGTGGTGACGTGGTTAAGAGCAGGGGGCTGGGACTCAGGCGATCCGGGTTCGAGTCCCCACTCGGCCATGGAGCCCACTGGGTGACTTTGGGCCAGTCACAGACCCTCAGCCCAACCTACCTCACAGGATTGTTGTTGTGGGGATAAGATGGAGGAGGAGAATGATGCAAGCTGCCTTCAGCCCTTTGTAGGAAAAAGGCAGGATATAACACCATCTCACACCATCAGGTCCTGGAGTAAAAATTCCCCGCTGCAGGGCTGGTTGGAAGTGACCACTTGCAAAGCAGCGCCGACAAACACCTGGGCAGCAAGAAGCGAGCTCACACCTGTGGAGCAAGTGCCCGTGCGCTCCATCCACGCTGGTGTGGCGCAGCGGTGAGTGGGCAGGACCCCGGCTCGGGAGACCCAGGTTCGAGTCCCCACGGGCCTTGAAGCTCCCTGGGGCCCTGAGCAGAGCCTACAGCACAAGGCCGTTGTGGGAATGGAACGAAGAGCCTCGCCGGGCTCCTTGCAAGAGGGGAAAAAGCGGGATACAAACACGATAATAAGAGGAATGCGCTCGGGCAAGAAGAGGAGCAATGGGGGGAGCAGCTCGGCCAGCGCAGTGCAGTTCAGTCCCCGAATCATGGAGGCGGGAGGGCGCGCGGGCAGGGCCGCTGCCCGAGATCCGAGGGGCGAACCACGGATTCTCAGCCTAGCCTACCTCGCAGGGTTGTTGTTGCGGGAACAGGACGGGGTGGGGAGGAGGGTCTCGGGGGCGCGGGGCGTCCCTCCACCAGCCCTACCTGGAGGGTCCGCATGAGGCTCTGCACTTTGCTCTCCTCCAGGGCCGGCGGGATGGGGCGGGCGATCACCCGCAGGGGCACGTCGTGCACGGCGCCGGTGCGCCCCGAGGGGAGGCTCCCGCCGCCCTCGCCCGCCGCGGCCATGGCCAAGCGCCTTGCGATGGCCCCGCGCGCGATACTGCCGGCCCCGGATCGTGCCATTGCGGCGGGGGGGGGACGCCACGCGCAGCCCCGCCCCGCGCAGCCCCGCGCCGCCCCAGCCCCAGCCCCAGCGCCGCGCCCCGGGCTGGGCGGCGGGAGACGCGGGACCCGGCTCGGCGGGCGCGCGGCTGTTCCGGCGGGATGGCGGCCCCCGCCGCCCGCTCCCCCCGCCGCCCCAGTGGAAGGGCCCGTGCCGGCGCGGCCACGCGCGCACGTGCGCAGGCGCCCAGCGTCCTCCTCCTCCTCCCCGCCCCGCCCGCGCCGCCCCGGCGGCTTTGCTGAGTCACGAGGAGGCAGCGGGAAAGCCGCTGTCGAGCCGCGCTCGGCCCCGGAACCTGTTTGCAGGCCCGGGAACGGGGAGCGCGGGGAGCGAGCGGGGCGGCGTCCGGGGCTGGGTAGCTTCGGGAGGGGGCGAGCGAAGGGAGGCGCGCTGGAGGCTGAAGCGGCCCGGGCTGGGCAGAGGGTTAGGCGAGGCGAGGCGAGGGGAGGGTCCCCGTGCCCCCGGATGCGAGGACCCCACGGGGTCGCCCCAGGCAGCGGGCGGGGGGCAATTCGGGACAGAGCAGAGCAGGGCGAGGCGAGGCGAGGCTCCCCGCCCAGCGCACGGCGGGATTCCCTGCCGCAGGATGGCGTGCCGGTCGCCCGCTTGGCTGTTGGGGGGGCTTTAGAGGGGCATTAATGCTGGGAGCAATGCGTGGCAGAAGGAGGAGGGGCCGGCAGAGGATGAGGAGCTGGATGGGGTCCCTGGGGCAGTGGTTGTGGGCCTGGGTGGCCTCTGGGCGATGGTGGGGGACAGGAAGGCCTGGAGGGATGCTGTCCGTGGGGTCGCGTTGGGTCAGACACGACTTCGCGACTCACCACAACGACAAAGGGTTATGTCATGCAGTCATGCAGGAGGAGGCGATCCCTGGCCAGGCGTGCGGGTGGCTGTTTGTTGCCCCCGGCATCGGAGCCACTTTGCCTGTGCTGCGGACCCCAGCCTTGCCTTGCTTGTGGATTTCCTGTGGGGAGCTGTGCGGGATCCAGCAGGGCTTTTTTTATGTCCTCAAGGGCTAGGACTGCACTTCACTTATTTGGAATAGTGGAAATTTTAGGAAGGGGCAAGCGATTTGGCCTGCGATTCCCATCATTGCTTTGGCCTGCGATTCCCATCATTCCCACCCAGGACGCTGCAGTGTCATGAGAGTCACAGGCAAGAATTCCCGGGGAGCTTAAATTGCCCTACATCGTGGGAGGGTGGCTGTGTAGGGTGGCCTCTCCCATCCTGGTGCTCTGAAGAGGTTGTGAACTTCAACTCCCATCAGCCCCAGCAGGGAGTTAAGATTTTCGTTTCTTTACTGCCCAATAGCCAAAGCTCTCTGGGTAGGTAGCAGTTCATAAAATAGGCTATACAGCCACAGCCCCAAACATCTGGAGAGCACCAAGCTGAGGAGGGCGGATTTAGGGTTTGGCCGTGTGCACTGCTGCCTGCTTAGCTTGAAATACCTCCTGTAGGACCTTGTCTCTTAGAGTAATTTTCTCTCGTTTCTGCATTCATCATATGGCACTTTTCCACTTTATGCCGCTCATGAGCCTCATTAGACACTATTGGCCAAGTTTGCACATTTCAGGACTTGCTATTAGGAGTATAATCCCATGCATGTTTAGACAGAAGAACGGCTGGCTAGAGAATGCCGAGTGGTGTAAGTCCCCTTTCTGCCTAAATATGCACTGTGATTCTTAGATGCCATCAAGTCATTTCTGACTTAGGGCCACCCTATGAAGGAAAGCCCTCCGAAATTTCCATCCATGCCAGCCCTGCTCAGCTCGTGTAAACTCAAGGCTGTGGCCTTCTTATGGAATCGCTCCATCTCGCATTCTCTTTACTTCCTCCTCTTCAGCCTTTGACTTTGCCTAGCCTGGTTGTCTTCTCCGGGGAGTCTTGTCTTCTCTGGGGAGTTTTGGCCTTTTGTGCCTCTAGGGAAAAGCTCTGGCTTGCTTTAATCTGGCTAGGAGCCCCTTTGGTCTTTCTGGCAGTCCAGGGTATCCACAAGCTCTCCTCCAGCACCATCTTCTGAAGGCACTCATTTTCCTCTTTCCAGCTTCCTTCACTGTCCAGTTCTCACAGCCATCCATACCGATCAGGAGTACAATCGTGTGGATGGTCTTGGCCTTGGTCTCCAGTGAAATCTGTTTAGACATGACTAAAAATGGATAAAATCATAATAGACTTTTCAGATCTCCTTGACTGATTTGGTGTGACTTGGATCCTTTCTGATTGGGGTTTAGGGTCCTTTCTCATTAACCCGCTAGCTAACTGAAGGAAGTTTACTAAAGCTAAAATGGACACTTATTTTTATCCTCTGGGAAAAAGGTAATGTGTGAAGTGGACACTTATTTTTATCCTCTGGGAAAAAGGTAATGTGTGAAGTGGACACTTATTTTTATCCTCTGGGATAAAGGTAATGTGTGAAGTAATGCTGAAAGAGAAAGCAGGTTAGGAGTGTGAGCCCCAGAGGGTTCGACTTGCTCATGTGACTCCTTAAAAATCTGCTGGAAAGCTTCTTTTGCTCTTTCCACCGCAGTCTTCCAAATGGTAGCCTTTAAAATACGTCTTTCCCTTCACCTTGATCATAGGACTGTGAGGTTTGTTCACTTCTCCCTTGAGCCTTTGCTTCCTTCCTCCTTTAATTTCCAAAGCATTAGGTAGGCAAATGTCACGACTAAATTTCTCGTTTTTGCAAGGAAGGTCGAGGGTCGAGGTTACGTCAGTTGGGTTGGCCCCTTTTATAAGAGCAGCATTCTTCCGCTTGCCAGAGAGAAAAAGAGACCACGAGAGAGAATTATTGCTAAACAGAGGGTGGCGGCTTATTACAGCCGTTCTCCTGTTTGCCAGGGGCCAGCTAAATATTACAGATGCTTAAACCCACTTCAGAATTCCTTCCTGCTGGGAGAATGAACGTCCTTATCAAAATAGCACATTTGTGAATTGGGAGTGGCAGCTGAACCTGATTGGTAACATCACTTGCTAAATGGAACTGAATACTCGTTACGGGGATAACCTCTGGAGTGGTTGTGCGAAACCACTACCTGGGGCTGGGAACGTGAGTGGCATTAAAGGGTCACATCTGGATCAGCTCAGAAAGAAGTTGAATTGTTTCTTAATTGGGGGTGTGTGGGAGGGGGGAGCTTGTCTCATTTCTTGAGTTTTTTCTCTCCCAGTGCAAACACTGAATGTATGATTTCAGCGTATATGAAGATTAAAACTTCTGCTTTAATTTCAGTTGTGGATTGAATAACAACTTATGGCTATGACAGAGACGGTTTTGCAATGCAAATATCTTTGCGCAGTCCTCTTTTCAAGGTGGAGTAATTTAAATTGGTTGTGGGCAACATGGAACCACTGTTGCTGCTGTTAAACAATTGGGTGTCAGCAGACCCGGGTCAGCAGCTTCCCCTTTGCCCCGGGTGAGGTTTTCCCCGTCCGGAGGGAACCGTCCTCTTCCTGAGGTGGTGTCTACACTGCATCTTAACGCACCAATGGTCTGTTCAGCCAAGAAGGTGCTGGAGGCTCCGGCCAGCTTTTCTTAAGCAGAACTCTTGTCCTCTTGGGCTGCCCTTGGTCCTCCGGCTGCAGCACAGCCCCCCTCCTGGGGGCTTTGAGCACCCCCTGCTCCCTCACCCCACCCAAACACAAGTGGCACAACTCCATAGCAGAAAAAAGGCCTTTTATTATCCCTGAATTGCGTTACAATACTGCAGGTAGTTTCATCTTCGGAAGATTTGTCTCTCCCTGTGATCCGTCCAGTCCCAAATCTGGCAGGAAAGGAAAAGCTTTATCATGCAGAGGAAATTATTGCTGTCATGTTTCTTATTTACAGTATAAACACTGAAGAGGAAAGGTGGGTTATCGTGACCATTCCCAGCATGAATGCCACAGGCAGGAAGCCCCGGGCCAGCTTTCGGAGGAGGACTCCCTCTGAGCTGAACCACCATCCAGGGAGGAAGGAGGTGAATCCGGTTTGTAAGGGTGATAGTGGCATGGGAAACGCCGTTGGAGACGCGGCTTGGCAGCATCTCGACCGCTTTGGAAGGATGTTGCGTGTGAGCGTGGTGGTGCTCCACTCTTACGTGACGCTCTGGCCCTCACCTTAACCCTTCCAGGTCCAGCTGGGCAGGTGCTTTCGCTTGCAGCCCTGCACTGAGCAGGTGGCCTGACGGCCTTTTCCCAGTGGACTCTGCCAAGAGAAGCATGGCGACAGGCTGCCTTGACAGCTCGGTGTAGATTACGCCCTCTTGATTCATGGTAGTCTGTGGGATCTCGTCGCACAGTTCTCCTGTGCTTTGCGGGCATTTTGCCACGACTTCTGGAATGAGGTTACGCGCTAAAGCGAGCTTGCATATTTGTGCAAACGCTCTGTATTGCCTTGTGGTTGTGTTACGGAACACCTGGGAAGGCAGAGAAGGGAAAGGCTCAGAAAAAAACCCAGGTGTTAAGGTCGTGCTTTACTCCTGCCAAGAAAACGGAAGCAACAGCCTTGGTGAAGCACCACGAACACCTTGTGAAGAAAAGCCCTTACACCGGAAGCAAGTTTAAGTTGTATTGTCCGTGTCCCCTGGCTTGGGGGGGTGGGATTAGAAACACTTTTTTTTGTGGCTGCCCCCCACTTTTGTTGCAAGGACTAAGGATCACCCAGAGTTAACAGAGGTGCAGCACCTCCCTCCCTCCCCCCGTAAAAGGACGGGGTGGCAGAATGCAGTCAACCAGCCACTTGCCGTTTGTGAATCCCGCGTGAAACAGGCAAAGTATGGAGTGAAAGGGCGTCTGAATGTGAGAGAGCTGTGATGAGCAAAGAGAAAAGGGGTAAAAGATGGGGTGGAAAGAGAATGCCATGGGGCACAGAATGATGTGGGGGTGGAGAAGAAGGAGCAGGAGCTGATGGGGGAAGGCACAGAGAGACTTGGGTAAATGCAGCCGGAGCCAGAGAGCTGGGAGCTGACTGCGAGGAGGAAAGGGGAGAGGACGTGATCTGCAGGGAAGCCTGTGGGTGCCAAAACGAAAAAGCGACGGGAAATGGAGGAGGGGATGTAGACTTGCGGTGGTGCAGAGAGGGAGAGAGAGTGTGCGGTTGGCAGTAGAGACAGAAGCTGGGGGAGAGGGGGGAGTTTCACTTCGGAAAGCGAAAAGGATGACCGGCCTGTGGGGTGCAGAGAGGAAACGGACCAAATGGCTGATCCTGCAGACAGAGACGCCGAGTTAAAGTTGTAGCAAAACTGCATTTTCTCCCTTAATGTGATGAGGCAGGTGTCTTAAATAAATAAAGCGCTCAGAACGGCTGATCTGAGAGCAGAGTGCCCACAGCCAAAACGGTGCAGGACCAATGCTGTTCTTTGCGAAGAATCCCAGGTATGGAGTGCGGGGGGAGCATCCACCAATGCGCTGTGTCAGGCCAGGAAGGAGCCGCTTTCCCCGGGACCTTGGATATCTGAGAAGCACTTTCCCCCCAGTTAAACCAGGAGGTATTGGTACACACTCGGAAATGCTACTTTAACTCAGGACCCCCTTTCCCCAGTGTTTCTGAACAGGCCGTGCTTTCCGAGTGTCGCTCCAAATTGGATTAATCCCATTGCAATGGAACCCCCCACACCCCCTTTCCTGGGGCTCCGCAGAACCTCCAGTTTTTACTACTCTCTTAATGGCACAAGTCCAGTGTTCCTGTGGAGCCAGAGTGCATCTTGCACACCACCTGGGAACTGGCGTTCTGTTCCAATAACTGCCGAGGATGATGGGAACCGTGCCTCGTGCGAGGCGCCTTCATCCCTTGTGTGAGTGTGTGTGGCCAGAAGGGGGAAACACCCGGGCTTTGTGAATTGTGGCATTTGAGGGAACGCTTCTAAGTGTCTCTTGGACAACCACGTGGCGGCGACTGCCTGGCCAGCAGAGTCCGGGTGAGATTGGCCACTGGCTCCGAGGTAGAAGGTTAGAAGTGTCGCAGAGTCGACGTGTCCAGCGGTGCTGCACTGCACATCAGGCCCCGTCTTTCCTGGAGGAGTCAGTGCTTGCCCGGAAGACACCGTCTTGGGCCCTCCGCGCCCAGAACAGCCAGGTGGAGGCAGGAGTCGCAAGTCCCTCTGCAGAGTTGCATAGAAATGGCCGGTTGCCTCCCATTGCCTGGCATGGCAAGCCTGGGAGAGACTGGACGGAGCGGCTTCTTTTGCTACTGAGGAAGACGACAAGGAATTAAATGGCCTTGACCAAGATTTGCACAGTCCAAACCCCGCCTGTTTGGAAGGGACCGGCAATGCAGAAAGGTCACCTCCCCAAACAGTCAACATGGCTTTCACTCACGCAGCTTGTGTGTCGGGTTCTGCATCCTCCCCGACCCCCAGCTACCCAGTCATCCTATCAGCAAAATAGATGTATGAGCATCACTGGATGAGAGTCTGCCCCCTCCTGATTCTTGACTTCCGTCCGAGACAAAAGCGGGGTGGAGACAGCCGTGCAGGTGGAGGACGCTGGACTTTCTGGACTTGGTGGGCAGGGGGGGCTGGGAGCTCCTTAGGCGGTGAGAGGAATTTCTGTACTCCCCGTTCCACTGGGCGGCTGCTTGTTTTGTAGAGTGAGGCCCTGGAGTCCAGATGTTAATTATTCCACTGCCTCTGGGTTAAACATAGTCTTGGTGCAGAGTCCGGCAGGTGGCCCTTCCCATCCTCACCCGTCTGCAGCGTGGGGCCCATGCCAGCTGAGGAACCACTCCGGAGTGACGGGTCAGGCTTTGCTTACGGAGCTTCCCATCCTCCCTCCCTGCTGCCCGGAGTTCAGAGGATCTCAGGTGGAAGGCCTGGAAGATCTGCCAAGCCCTAGAGGACAACTTCCTGCATTCTGGCCAGCGGTGGGGTGGGGGTAAACGCTGCCATGCAGGCACTCCTCAGGACGGACTGCAAGGCCAGGATGGTCCAGAATTGCAGGCGGCTGTGTCGTGTGAGTTTCCACCTGCCAAGAGCAGGTCCTCTGTCAGGTGAATGAGGAGCCACTGCCCGTTCAAGACCAAGTCACTCCACAATTCTTTGCATTACAAGGAACAATCGATGTTTGTTGGAAGTCCAGAAAGAACAGGGGATTTTGACCAGGAGGTGTCTGTCGGTGGATGGCGTCGAAGTCCCTGCTAATGGAAGTCCTGGCATGGCGTCGCTGCCAGCCCCAGCCCTCCTACAACGTTGCTGGCCAAGCTGAGTTTTTTCAAACGATACGAAAAGCCAGTTTAACATAGACGAGAAATGATCAGTGTCCCTCCTTTCCGACGGCTGTCCACTCTTGGAAAGAACAGCAGCCAAACCCACCCCCCACCCTGCAACTACAACCTGCGTCTAGTCTGCCGTGCGTCCTTTTTAGCTGCCCGTTTGCACCCTCAACCCACTCTTCACTAAAATGCATGCAAAGAAAATACAATTTTTCACCCACACACTTCCCCGCCCCCCGCATGAATTGGCAAACGATAAATAGGATAAATAGGATAAATTAGAATGCTTAAATAGATATTCCTACACTTACGGCAACAATGGCCCTCCTTGAAGTTTCTTCATTCTTTTAAAAAATCTTCCGTGAAAAAGAAAAGATGGACTATAGAAAGAAATCGTTTTCCTGCTCCCCACAGCAGTGTCGAGAACGCCTGACCCCCACCCCACGCCCCTGGCTGGTGCAGGTGAGAAGGTGGGAGGTGAGCAGATGGGCAAACACTGGGAAATCACCCCCCCCACACACACACACTTTCCTCTAATAGTTCCATAATGGAGAAGGAAAACAGACAATGTAGCCACGGAAAAACAAGCATGGAGCTGCAAAATAAGGGTGCGTGTCGCAGCCATGCAGAACCTTTCATTTTCAGAGAAGCCCTGGGGGCTGCATGCGGGGTGGGTGGGGCCTAGGGCAAAAGGGGTGGGGCCAGAGCACCAGCAAATGCCCAATCACAAGTGCAATCCCATGCGTGTTTAGAGAGAAATGACCTACATTTCCGGGCATGGTCCGGCCAATTATGGGGCATGCTGGGAGTTGTAGGCCCCTTTTCTGTCGAAACTTGCCTGCCATTGCACCTTAAAGCTGCTATTGCCGGTGATGGAGCCTTGCGGAAAAGAGCAGGAGATCTCTTTCTGTCGGGCCCTTTTCGAGCCTTCTCCAAAAGATGCTCCTACCACGAGGGCAGGAAAAGTGTGCCCTGAACACAGGGAGGGGATCCAGCCATGTTTTTCGGGGGTTTCTTAGGAGTTCCACAACAGGAGAAGCGATTGCGGACAAGCCTCCTAAGGACACTCCGGAATGCATCTCTGCTCAGCATTGCTGGGAGTGCAGGATCTGTGCTAGGCCCATGCTGTCTGAAGGTGAACCTGAGCCAAGGTATGTGCAGGGCTTCCACAGGTGCTCAGAGGTGGGCGGGGACAGGAAGTTTTCCCTGTAGGAAGCTTGGAGCCCCCAGGGGTCAGTCATGGGGACCTTTCAGGCATCCCGCGCAGGAGAGCATGGCCCCAAAGCTTGGGCTCGTTGCTTCGGTGGATCCCTGGCAGTCTGAATCTGAGGGCAGGTGCCCTGCCCGACTCCTCTGTGCTTGTGCGTTGCCACAGGAAGGTGCGGTCCTGGTGCGAAACGACGAAAAAAGGTAGTTACCCTTGTCAACTAGAATGGCCCATTTGCTGGTTAAAAGCAGATCCTTGTCAGAGGCCGGGGTGGACTTGCAGAGTCTCTGGAAAGTCCAGTTCCAATCCAGGAAAGGTGTAGGCGGTGCTTGGGCGCGCTGAGTCTCGCAGAAGATGTCGCGCTCACGATGCAAGGTGTCCTCGTGTGCAGTGCAGCCCCACTGGGGCACTGGAGCCCTTGCTGGAGCCTGCACTCTGCACGCGGCCCTTGGAGCCATCTCCTCCACATTCGGAGGAGGAGAACGGAGGACCACATCTGCAGCAAAAACGTAACCTTGGTCTTAAGGCTCTAGGTTCCAGCGTACAGAAAGGACACCTGGCAAGATGACCTCAGATACCTGGAATGCTCATCTGGTTATTTCTGGCTGTGTGATGGAATGGGCACCCAGCGCCTTTGGCAGACCCTTTCCGGTGTATTAGCCATCTGCCCCATTGGGCCGCCTTTCCTACGGGTGTCCCCAGAAGTGATGAGTTGCGCCAACAGACTACCCTTCTTTCCCCAAGTTCCGTTTCCTGTGCCTGATATAACCTGTTCATGCCTTCCTGGCGTTTCAACCTGATTGTTTTAAGTAGTACCCTCCCCCAACCACCCCACACCTGGCCTCGCCAGCTGCACAGACCCCCCACAACCCGCTTCTCAGGTTTCACAGCTTACGCGTTTGTTCTGTACCCAAAGAGATCATCGCTTCCCAAAAGGGCAACACTGAAAGTTTCATTCTCCCTAAAATGGGGAGAGGGAGCAGCATTGAATAAATACTGTAATAAATTAGATAATAAATACACCTGGAGGTTCCCAAGTTTTCTGAAAGGGGGAAGGGTGGTGCCCCTTCTTCTAGGTAATGCTGGGGGGGGGATTTGTCTCACTTGGGGAACAAGCCTGGGGTCTCTCGAAGACCACCCCTTGCTAGCAAGAATGGAGTTATTGCTTCAGCTGATGATTTGGGGAGGAAGGAGGGGGAACGAGGCTGGGTCTTGGGGTCGACGGGGGCGGCGTCCCTCCAAGGCCGGCTGCGCTCCAAGGAGGAAGAGACGCCGCCGAGGTCAGCAGGGGCGCCCGCCCGCCCGCCGCGCGCACCCGCGGCAGCGGGGCGCCGGCTCCGGGCCGCTCCGGCCTCGGCGCGCAGGGACCGGCCCGCGCGCGCCTCAGTTCTCGCGCTCGCAGGCGTGCTCGGGGCCCTTGACGCAGGCCGACTCGTGGTGCTTGTTGAGGTACGACTTGAGCGCGAAGGTCTTCTCGCAGCGCTTGCAGCGGAAGTGCTTGAAGGCCGAGTGCGTCTGCATGTGGGCGCGCAGGTTGGAGCGGTCGGCGAAGGCCTTGCCGCAGTGCGCGCAGCCGAAGGGCTTCTCGCCCGTGTGCGAGCGCATGTGTCCCTGCAGCAGCCACGGGCGGCTGAAGGCCTTGCTGCACACGTCGCACTTGTGCTTGAGGTTGTGCGTCAGGATGTGCATGGCCAGCGCCGGCATGGACACGTAGGCCTTGCCGCACGTGGGGCACTTGCGCGCCATCTTGCTGTCCAGGCTGCGGTGCGTCTGCTTGTGCCGGCTGAGGTTGGAGGAGGTGGCGTAGGTCTTGCCGCACTCGCTGCACGCGTGCCGGTGGCTGCCGCGCCGCTGCCCCTCGCCGCGCCGCCGCGAGCGCCCGTCGGTGATGAAGAACGCGTCCATGGAGTAGCTCTCCGTGACGGCGGCCTCGCCGTTGAAGTAGTGCGAGGACAGGCTGGACTGCGGGCTCTCGGGGTCGCTGTAGTCCTCGTGGATCGGGGCGTAGACCGCGTCCGAGCGCAGCCCCGGCTTCTTCTTCTCATTCTTGTAGCTGGACGCCGCCAGGCAGCTCTGGAGGTACCCTGCGGAGAGGGGGCGACAGGCGCGGGCACGTCAGGCGGGCAGTCAAGGGGCGGGTCAAGGGGCGGGGGGGGGGTTCGGGTCAGACCCCTGCTGGAGAGCCTGGCAGCTGCTTCTTGGGGTACCTTTGTGTCCTGCCCAACAGCTGGCGTTCTGGGGTGGGTTTCAACCGTGAAAACGTGATAGGCAGCACAGTAAGCAAAAACAGAAGGCTACAGCTGAAAAGCATTTTAAGACTCCCCAGCAGTGTAAAGATTTAGAAATTCAGTGGGCTATTTTGAAGCAGCGGGAGCGAAAGATTGCTCACGATACGGCACCAGAGGTGCCAGGTGGGGCTCTTTGGGGAGGGCATGGAACAACAGCCCAGAAGACCCTCTTCTGAGGGGCTCCAGTTCCACATTCATCTGGCAAGAGGACCTGGAGAGATCCCCTAAAAATTACCTTGGAGTCCAGGCAGGCACATTTGGGTGGAGGCAGTCAAGCTCTTTAGGGCTGTGAATGTTCCCTCCAGCTCTTTGCACTGGGCCCTGGACCCGGACTGGCAGGAAGTACAGATGGAAAAGTACTTGCAGCTGGAGAAGGAGCGGAAGCAACGGACCATCCCTGTAACAATCTCACTGCCCCCCCTTGAACTGGCCAGCATTTCTGGACCATTTTCAAGGGCGGCCCCCTGCGTAACACACTGCCGTTGTCCAGACGAGTGCTCGCTGGAGCCTGGGTCATGGCATCAGGTGTTCTCTGTCCAGATAAGGACGTAACAATCAACTGGGACATAAAAAGCCGCTTTGCGCTGGGTCAGTCCCTTGATCAACTTACTTACTTACTTACTTACTTACTTACTTATTTATTAATTAAAACATGTCTATGCCGCCCCATTCGCCGAAGCCTCGGGGCGGCTCACAACATGAAATTGTCTCAGTCTTTCCTTCAGTGATGTGGCCCAGGCCTCTGCACCTTCCAGAAGGGGTCCTTCCCAGACGTAGCTGGAAATACCAGGGGCTGAGCCAGGGATGCTATGACCAGGTTTGCACAACACAACAAGCCATGGGGTTTTTTTTTACCATTGCTTCTCTGTCGTCCAAACCCAGGCATGTGTGGTACAAGTCAGGAGTCCATCTCTCCTTCTCCCAGCAAGTCTCTTCCCCTTCCCCAGCTGATCTCAACAGGAGGCTTCTGGCTAAAGTGTTTGATTAATTCATGGTGGCCAGCCAGGGCTGTTTTTGTGCTAGAGTGTGGCTAAGGAAGGGATTCGCACCTGGGTCCGGGAGGCTGCGAATGGCTCTCTGAGAGAGGGAGTGATGCCAGGCTTTCAAAAGGAGGCCATAATCAAGCCGCCCCTGAAAAAGGCTAACACGGACCCAGTGGATGTGAATGTTTATAGACCTGTGGCCTACGTTTCCTTCCTGGGCATGTTGTTGGAGCAGGTGGTGGCCGGGCAGCTCCAAGCCCTCTTGGAGGGAATGGGCTGCCTCGAGCCATTTCTGTGGGGTTTCAGACCTGGTTTTGGAGCGGAGACGGCCTTGGTCACCCCGCGGGATGAGCCCAGCTGGGAGAGAGATGGGGGAGTGCGACCCTGTTGATTCTCCTGGCCCTCTCAACGACTTTTGATACCATCAGCCAAGGTTTCCTTCGGCATGGGCTGGCTGGGTAGGAGGTACTGCTTTGCAGGGGCTCTGCTCCTACCTGGCTCACTGATTCCAGAAGATGGCACTGGGGGTTTGTTGCTCTGTGCCATGTCAGTGATGCCATGGGGTTCTGCAGGGCTCTGTCTTACTTCCCCTGCTGTTTAACATCTACATGAAACTGCTGGGAGAGGTCCTTTGGAGATTTGGGGTGAGATATCCTCAATATGCAGATGCTACTTGGCTCTGCCTCTCCTTTTCAGAGCACTCAGGTGAGGTGGTGACTGTTCTGAATCAGTGCCTGCACTCGGTAATGCCTGGATTCATCCAACTGAACTCCCCTCCTCTCTTCCTTACCAAAAGGAGTTGGTTCCACCCTCAAGGAAGTTTGCTGTGCTTGTGGACCATGCGGCAGGGACACCAGACATTAGTGTTTGATGTGATGTCCAGCTAGTGGGCTAATTAAATGATTCCTCTCCCCTTGATCCTCCCCAAGAGAATTAAAAACAGTTTGTGCACATGGCTTCTGCTTACCATAATTGCTTGTGCAATCTATGCAAGGAGAAGGGCCTTTTCAGTCATGGCCCCCATTATGGAACAAGATCTCCACTGAGGTCCACCTGGCACCAACTTATTACCTTTTCAGCACCAGGTTAAGACTGTTCTTTACCACAGGTAATTTAATTAGTTTACTCTTATTAGCTCCTTAAACAGGTCTTATGATTTAATTTGGATAAGCTATTGTAACTTTTTAATGTGTTTTAAATTGGTTTCATATTTTAATATGCTAATCTTTTTTAGGATTTTTAAAATGCTGTTTGTATTTTTCTGTGTTGTTGTAAACTGCCCAGACAGCTTTGGCTATTGGATGGTATAGAAATTAACTAGCTAAATAAATAAAGCAGCAGCTGGTCTTGGGCGTGAAAGCCAAGAACTATTTCGGCTCTTGGACAATGTAGCAATGTAATAAAACAGTCTCCTGGCTGGGGAAGACACGACCTGGCTGGCCCCAGTTCTGCATCTTGGGTCTCCCTCTGTGCTCACATCGTGACTACCAGATCCGGCCAACCTTCTCCCCACACAATCCCCACTGCCAACCTATTTTCTGTAACCCCTTGCCTGAGATTTGGTTGGGGAAAGTTTGCGTCTCTTTTGTGATCTTGGAGGTGGTCTAAGAAAGGTCAAGGATGGGCTGGTTTGCATGATTACCATGGGTTCAAGAAGACACCATGGCTTGTTTAACCCACACTTATGCTGGGCGCCATGGGACTACCCAGTCAGCCACCTGGGGCAGCTTGCCATGTTCTCCAAACCTTGGATGTCAGAGGGAAAAACCATGGACTGTTATTTTAACCCATGGTGATCGTGTGAATGGACCTTATATGGATTTTGGAAATATTTTTATGGTCCACACAATTGTGCAAGGGTTTTTTTGTTAGTTTTATTTTTTTGAGGGGGGATTAGTTTGTAAAATGCAATTTAAATGGAAGAGCTCTCTATTTGTCTTGTGAAAAACATGTGTTGGCGTGGCTGTTGCTACCAGATGCTTAATTTAGCAAATAATCAACATATTGTTAACCATGTTGGGCTTTGCTGCTAAATAATTTTTAAACATGTAATTACAATACAATGAAATACATTTTAAAGGGGAAGAAAAGATTTGTTTGATGCGAACTGTGTGCATATCCCAGGAGAATACACACCTAAACATGTTGTATTTCTGAACCCTTTAAAACTATTCGTACTAAATTGGGCAACACATAGAGTTGAACATGCTGCGTGCGTGAGATTGTGTCTCCAGGTTGAAGTCCAAAACTTGCTCCTTATCAGGACAAAGCTCCAGCAGAACTCAAGGGCAAGAGTGGAAAAGAGGCAAGGCGTGGACACAGAGGCCTAACCAGGGGGTGGGAATTGAAGCTGCCCGTGCCAGTCAGCAAGGACAGCTCAAGAAAAGCTGGAAAAGAGGGAGAACAAGGAGAAGGTTCCTGGTTTGGTGTATTGATGGAGGTCCTACTTTTGCACGTCCCACTGGGAGCAGGCAGCTCTGACCCAAGTGAGGAGTAGGTTCCGCTGCCTAGGCCTCTCCTGGAATCCCCCTGAAATAGGTTGGCGTGAGTCCAGCCCAGTCTCAGGCAGAACGAGGCATTTCTGGCCATCTGCTCCTTCCCTGCAGACAATGGCACAGAGAGAGATGGCGGGATTCCCAAGATGGACTGACGGCCACCCGTCTGGGAGTTTCAGGAGCGGGCTGGGCAAAGCCACAGGGGAGAAAGCTGTGTGTGGCCTCTAGCCCTGAGGCTCCATGCGACCTCCAGGACCAGAGGAGGCCTGGAAGGTCAGCCCCTGAAGGCCGTTCTGCTGAGTGGAGCAAGGTCTGCCCAGTAGGGCGCCCAAGCCCAGGGCTGAGGTCTCGCCTGGTCTGGTTCCCAGGGTCTCGCCGGAAAGACGGGCTTCCCGCCACCAGGTAGCAGCAGGCTGGAGGTGCCCAGGCCTCGCTGGAGAACGCGGCAGGAGAAGCTCGTCCCGGGCACCGAGCTGCGGCTTCTCCTCTCTGTGGGAGCTTGGCCATGCCCCACAGAGGGGTGGGTCTGGGCTCCAGGTTAGGCTGAGTCAGACGGGGAGGCTATTGATTCCCTGGGCTCGGCTCCCTGGGAGGCCCAGGGTCCAAGTTCTTGGTGAGCGCGCCCAGCATTCATGGGGGCTTGCTCGGAAGCACACGTGCCGTTCCCGCCCCGGAGGACCTGCAGCTCCCCACACCAAAGGGTGGCCGTGGGGCACTCAGTCCCAAGGCACCCAGCAGGAAAGCAGCCCCCCCCCCCCCGTGGTTGCAGAGGCAGCGCCTCTCTTTCAGGCCGACCTCTGGCTGACGTTTGGGGTGCCACTGCTGACCCACCGGGGGCTCAGTGTCCCCGGGCTTCCCTTCAGCTTGTCTCTCCCTGGAAGGCCATGCATGCTTGGAGGGACGGGTGCTGGCAGGGTTCGACCCACCCCTGCAAGGTCCACATCCCCACAGGGACTCGTGATGTGGGGAAGCCCATCTTGGGTGTGGGGTCCTTCGGATTCCCCGGACCCAGCTCCCCGGACTCTGGTCTGCCTTGTAGCAGCCTGGCACATGGGCAGAACGCTCTCCAGGAATTGGGTCTCATGCGCCCCACAAGCAGCGCCCCATAGAGAAGCCTTTGTTTGTGCTGCTGCACCCCACACAGAGGAAGACAGCTGGCTGCGCAGCCGTCGTCGTGTGAGCGATCGCAGACTTCCTCTTGGCTCGCCTTCCAAAAATGGGGGAGAGCAGACGAGGAAATCCACAAATGCCAGGGGGTGGATTCTGAGCGAGTGAGCAAACACGCAAGCCAGCAGTGCTGATGCCGAGAAAGGCAGAC